ATGTTTTTCCAGTCGTTTTAGTTGACAACGCACAAATTAATTGAATACCAAATAATAAAACGCGTAAATTAATATATATTTGTTTTTCACTCAATGATGAATGTATACTTTGCTCAATGATGGGGATCGAACGATAAAGAGATATCTGCGTTGTCTGATTTGTTTAAATACGCAAAAAGTCAGTATTAGGCTTATCCAGTTTTATTCTTTGGATGCGCGATAGCTCAGTCGGTAGAGCAGTGGTCTTGTAATCTGGCGACCCGGGTTCGACACCAAGGCGATGCGCTAGTACCCTTTGGTAAGGCATTAATCCTCATTATAAGTCTCTCGGAGAGGACCTAAAGCCGTCGGTCCTCTGTTTGCTTACTAACAAGCATTAATGCTTTCTTAGCAGTCAGGTAAAATAACCACCACTACACACACTTGGTTCACAAGGCATTATAAATAGAAGGCAATATAAATGGTATTTGAGGTATTATTGATCAAAGATTGAATTTAGATTGTGGGCGAGAATTATCGATTATTATTTCGTCTGCAAGGTCTTCTGTATCAACACTTGTTGAGTTGACTTCCTTTGCCAGAGTCAAGGTCAAAATAGTAACGTTTCTAGCCGAGGAAGGACAATGGACGGAAATTAGTACCAGGTCTCTACCACACTGATTAAAACAACATGATTGTAATGATGACACGTTAGTTTTCTCCCCCCCCCCCCTCTCTCTCTCTCTCTCTCCTTATTCCCTTCCATCTCTTCTCATTATTATGATAATAATACTCATTTTCTTTGGCAAGGAAAGCCTAATCAGCATTATCGCTGATTTTCTTGAGTGCCCTGAAATTATCATTACCCCCGGGTTTACCATGTATCCATCCATTCACGCCTGGTGGAGAAAGTAAAATGTGGATTAATGCTTTGCCAAAGGATCTTACTGTATGCATACTTTTATTTCAATGAGAAGCGAAGAAGTTTAATTATTCAAAGGCAGACAGTGTCTTGAAGAAGAAAAACACGCACTCAATCACTATGCTAATATACAAACAATGCACATCCAAAAAGTACTGCATGTTATGATGAGAAAATGACTGGCTTGTGAATACGATACAATAGTATAATCTCAAAAATATTATTTAAACTAAAGGTTTACAATGTTAATGGGATACTATCACAATGTCACCTACTCCATATTCCTTCTTTTTTATGTTCCAGAGACAAGAACAATGCCTTAAAGAAGAAAAAAAACATTTAATTAATGTCACATAGACCTCTGTGAACAAAAGAGCATATCATTTGTGGTACAATGCATGGTCGTAATGTTGTAATTGCTTTTCTCTCTTTTCCTCTTTCATAGGGCCGCAGGAGACTACCAACTATCTCATGTTCATTTTTAATCTATAGGCCTAGGGGGGGGGGGTACAATTTGATGTGGTTAATATTGCTTAGTTGTATTAATTTTATTTATGTTCCCAGCTAGTTTCCTTTTCCTCTTTCCTGTCGCACAAATAATCCAAATAGGATATAGGCACAGGTGTTTCAAAACATTGCCCACAAAACGCACACATTTGCGATTGTGTGGTTATGGGGGCATATCACACGGTTAACATCTTAATGACTATATGATAATTGACCTTTGAAGCAAAGAAAAAAGAAAAGAAAACCAAAATACCAGACTGTAATCTTCGACCCTTCTCTAGTCGTGTTTCTTCTTGCCTTGTAAATATTTGTGCATTGTTTCATAGTGGGTCATCTCATAACTTGATAAGAAAATACTTGTGTCGTGAATCAAGTGTAAATAACTGTTAAAATCTAGATTTGTTCACTGCTTTTAGGCTTTTTAAGTTGACGCAATTATAAAAGACCATATCGTTTTCTAAGAAAATATCTGTTTGCTTTCTTTCGTCTTTTTAATATTAATTTTTGCGCATTCAATATTGTATAACTTTGATTGCGACGGAAATACATGATTATACCGTTATGACACTAAATGTTTTCTATTATTATTTCGTTTTTCCTTAGTTTTGCCTTTTTATGACCGTCCTATGAATTGTTCCGAGTTGCACGCACTCTTTTAGAGCCCATGTTTTAGCAATTATCAGTCGCCTACACAAAATTGTCCCCTGATATCATTATCCAATGCAACTTCTTAATGTACCACTGAAAACAATGCGATGTGTTCGTTACATGAGATATCGCAAAGATTTGTCACTGATGATATCTTGAAAACCTCAAGCATGCTAACTTAATACATACTGTGAATTTCTCTCAGTTGCTACATTTTACATTGTGTGTAGGAATTTAGCTGTAACCATTAGTAGACGCTCTTTTGATTAACAACACTAAAACATGTGAGGTCTAAGATTCGTATAGAATTACACATCTGGTCTTTTATACATGTAGGCCTAGTTATACACAATTGTCACAATATTGATATCTCAACTTCTTCATGCACGAGTATCCTTTATGCTATACGGTCACAAAGGTTCGTACGAACGATAATTTCGTACGAATCTCCCTGTTTTTCATTGTCTTCCCGAATTTCCATTGTCTGAAAAACGTTCGTACGGCGTTAATGGCATTTGTGACCGAGGCTTAAATTACATCTTGAATTTATGGTATTCGCCGTGTTTTATATAGAATACTCAGAGAATTGAAGAAACCCGATAAAGTTGACAAAAAACAGAATTGTAAGGCCTCAAGATTCACTTAGATCGTTGCGGTCTTTAGTTACTGTCACTTTGACACGTCGTGATATGCTAGCAACTTCACGCATGAACGATATTTTAACTCCATCTTAAATTTCCGTCAGTTGCTGCATTTGACACGTTGCCTAAATAATATCCGTACGGCTCTACCTGCAACTATATGCATACATCCAAGAAGGTTGACTAAAAAATATTTACAAAAGAGCAAATGTACATGAGGCCGAGGTAGCTATGCGGTTACTTAATAGATTTTTCAAAAGGTGTCCCTGGAAATGATGAATAGGATTTTGACCTTAATTTTGTAGGTAATGATTCTATAAATAATAATACATAAGATTTATAAGGCGCCAAATCCACTTGACAGTCAAATGCTCAAGGCGCAGCTTGTGCAAAAGATGAAATACATGATATACAAAGTGCAATAGGAAAGGTACAGACATGAAAGGTTATGGTAATCGATTATAAGCTAAATTAAACAGATATTTCTTAAAATTGATGAGTGATTTGATTGATTCTTGAATAGTTTACTACTGTGTAATGAGGAAAATTTCATCTGGGCAAAGGAACAAAGTATCAATTCAAAACTTAAGTCACGGAGACAAATTCACATCCACATTATGGTGTATATATGAGAAAATGTAGAAATTATGGCTTGCACAGATTAGATGGTTATTATATTCTCTTCTCAACATCGAGTACTTGTAGAAGAAAAGGCGGCTTATTTGATATTAGCTGCAATTCCAACAGTATAAAGGCGCTGTAATGGTTGGTATATTTTTTTGAACAATAATCCATTTACAGTAGATTCGATCAAACTCAATTAAATGAAGTGCTCCTGCGCTCACTCACAAATCAGATGTGCTGATGTATACACTGGTAAGCATTTCGGATATTGTATTTTGTATAGAAATCTCTATTTGATATGTCTTAGATTATCCTTGTATGCAGTCTTTATAGGTATAGGCCAAGGTAGTTATTCTACACAAGGTATATACTTAGACATGAGGACAGTATTTGCATGAGTGTAATGTATATATATATTTAAGCTATTAGTAAGTATTACGCAACATTGTTTTGCTAAACACAACGAGGAATCCCTAAGCTGTACGTAGTGTTAATTTATTTTGTATTGAAAAGATAGGCTTCGCGATGCAATAGATCTTTTAATATTGGATCATTGCAGCATTGAGCATGACTGCCAATCGTAGTGCGACGCCGATGCATCGTGTACACTGGTTTATTAAATACTCGTAATGTAGTAACAAACATGTACTGGATGTATTGTAGGCCTATAGACAATTATTGTATATAAAACGCAGTGTTAAGTCGCAATACATCATACGTGCAATTACATGAATGTGTCTATCATTGAAGGCAAGGTCGAAATACGATTTTGTTAAGCTTGGATACGCAAATCCTTTAAATGTAAGGCAAATCTCTATTTGTCTCTACGTCTCTATCTCCTCCTCCGCTTCCACTAGTTTGTCTTTTTTCTTTTTTGATATTATCCTCCTCCTGTAAGACATTATATCTGAACCATGTCTACTGCCTGGCTGCGGTCTGGGTATAACGAGTGTAGACAGGATGATATATGCTTCCAACTATATTTCAAGAAATATCATGCACCACCATGCTATTAATATCGAATTGGAAAATGTCTGAAAGGTCGTGCGGAAAATGCCTTTGGCTGCCACTTAAGTCATTTATAACGTTTTCATATAGAATCGCACTGATAGATCATCAGTGTCCCGTTGTATAAGGTCGCATGTCAGTATCAAACATTTCAATAAAGCAAAGTGCATAATAGTGATAATAATAACAATAGAGAGAAATTCACAGAATTATAAGAAGTTGGTATTGTGCATTAACATAGAGATTATTCACTGTGTAGGGCATGATTGTACGAATCAATTTTCGTTTAGGATTATAATTTGTATCACATTCCTTTCCTTATGATCTATAAACAATGTGTGTGTGCGCGTGTAATTGTGTGTGATATATTATAAATCCATGTATATATAATAACGTGTATAAACGTGTATATACACATATGTGTGCCCGTGTGTATATACATGTAATAGATATAGCTGTAAGGTCATGCAAGAACAAGACGCCAGCTTATTAACATTGAGGTTTAATGTAAAAATGGTGCCAAGATTTTAGTTGTTGCAGTTTCTCGATCAGCGAGCATTTGTAACGTTTTATATTTGAACCCGATACATGTAGTGGGTCTTTGAATCGGGAGAAAACAACAAATCAAAGAAAACAATAGAACAAAAATATGAGAAAAGTTGCAAACTTACGTGGAATCTTTAGGGTGCCTCGTAAGTTCTGAATCCTGAACGGTGACATTGGTTGGCATACCACCACTCTCACCGGACACACCCTGTTTCTTGTTCCTCTTATTCTCCAGTAAAACGGCCAGTTTTTTACCCCCATCTCCACCCCCATCCGTAACTGCTGGTTTCGTCTGGCTAAGCACGGCCCTGAGTTTATTAACTTCCTCCCTGACTCGTAAGAGTTCATCATCTCGCTCCTCTACCATAGCATTTCGAATAGCAAGCTCCTCATGGCATTCCTTAAGCTGGACCTGAGCTTCCTGGAGCCGGAGCTTGAGCTTCGTCACCTCCTCCGTGTTCGCGCTGGTCTTGTGGTTGAGGCTCGAACCTGTGTTGTTGTTATACGGTGCGGCGCCATTACCCCCTCCTCCATGTGCATCTCCCCCTCCTCCTCGTCCTCCGCCTCCTGCGTCCGAGCGCGCCTGTTTACTGTGCAGGCCCGCGCCATTTCCCATGTCGTTGGCTCCCTCCGACGGTTGTTTCGCTGTCTGCTCCGATTTGCCTTCTTTCCCGAGTCGCAAAGAAAAAGGCATGATGATAACGTTGACGCGCACGCACGGGGTAGCAAAAAAATCGCACACGTCACTGCACGCAAAAGATACGGTTGGTATAGCTCGATATCAACACAGTGCGTGCGCACCGTATCTTATCATAATCAGTATCGGAGTCCACCTGTCACGGTTATATTGTCACGTTGCCTAGCAACGTTTATTGTTATTCCACGTGCTTTTTCTGTGCAAAAAAAATCACACCCCACTCATGCAGACGATAAGTATGATCGATCGTTATCTATCGGGTACAAAGGTTGTCCAAATTTTATTGAGATGTCGAGATAGTGGTATGCAATCCAATTCATGTATCCATTTTGTCTCTCTCTCTCTTACTATCGAGTATGTTTGATTAGTGCACTCTATAAATCCATAAAGGTAAACAGCGATAGAGGAATGTCAATATGAATAAATCTCAGAATTGGATCTGAAGGGTCGGTTTTTCGAGGTAGATAATTTGTCACTTGTTTCGTAAGCTTGCCATAAATGTCTATTCGTCCATCCCTTGATGTGTGCGCTCTCTGCCAAGGACTTCGGACTCTCTCAATAGCCAACTTCCGACCACAAATATCCAGTCGATGATTTTACTGCAGATCTACGTGGAAAGACAAAGATAGAAAAGGAGGTTAAAGAGGATAAATCGCATTGACATTACAAATCATTTAAAGGCATTGTTTAACAAATCCAGTTTTTCAAATCTGAGATGCACGGCCCTACGTGTTATCACTGACTGTGATATGGTGTAATATTGAAGTCCTAACAAAATTGCGCTTCAAAATGATGATGAAGTGCTTCAAAAAAGTTTTTAAAAAATTGAGTGACCGGTTTTACCACACTCATTTTCCACAATAGACTGTAGTGTTATACAAAAACTGTTTAAAACTGTGTGGCAAACAGTTTTTGACATTTCTAATACCAATCATAAATATCTTGCTAATCAGGCAGGCGATCGGCTTGTAAAAGTTAAGGGGTTCCTGACCGACCTAAAGGTTTATAATTATGATTGCAGCATGAGCTAAATCCAGGCTGTTGTTTAGAATATGAGGCAAAGATACCCAATCCCTTTAAGCACAACAATTGACCATAAAATGCAGGACAGGGAAAAAAATCATAAGCTTTAGAATTTCCTTCCTGGTATAAGCCTATAGCTCATGTTTGCGGTGGTTTCAATACACCTCTTCAAAGAGAAAACTGTCAGTGTTGTTATTCCTCGAAATTGGAAGAATAATTTTTAAATATTTAAGTAGGGAAACGACAAGAAAAAAAATCATTGATAGAAGCAAAGGGTAAGATGTTTTTATTGCTTCTGGTAAGACCATGCTTAATTTTGTACAATCTTCGAAAGATTGCTTTTATAGACATCAAGAGTTTCGTATGCTACGTGGCCTTTACGCCTAGTTTTCTTATTATTTGTCATGTTTATATGACTAAATTGTGATTGAATATATTTCAGGGTGTTGGGAAAACAGATAGAAAAGTTTCAACCAAGATTCTTTAAAATTAAATGAAAAACGTTTCGTGCATGAAATCGATTGAATATTCATGCATTTCTTGCTTGTACATGTTTGTACTTTAAGTTTTTTCTCCTGGAAATAATTTAAATTATATTGATCTGGTATGGGCGTTCTTATGTCACGAAACAAATCATTATTTTTGTTTAGTTTTAACTTTGATGCTTTATGTCTGTTTTTGTATTCCTTTGTGTATCTCTTAAACAGAACGCAAAATAATTTGCTAAATTGAACGCGTAAACTCCTGGTTTTAACGTTTTGAAGGAAATGGGATTTGTGAAGTGTTCGTTAAAATATCCTCTTTCCATCTAAATTTTCCACAATTTATGTTTAAAAAGACTTAAATTCTGTTCAATATACAATTTTTTACATATATATATATATATATATATATATATATATATATATTACAAGTGAAATGAATATGTAACACTTCCTATCTATACATGCTGCAAACATGTGAATTTTTAGTTACTGAATCAACATTGTTCCATTATTTCAAGTAAAAGTCAAATTTACAAATAACTACGCACCGTCAATGCTTAGAATGATCGCTTATGGACACTATTTTATATAACATGTCGAGGCTTTCTACTGAGATTTTTTTTTTGTAATAATTATTTTCTTGAACAGAAAGGAAGTAGAGCAAGTACGAATAGTGGAGTAAGAAAGAAAGGATACTTGAAGAAGAAAGAGAGAGAGAGAGAGAGAGAGAGAAGGGCTGAGGTTGTTGCCTACGTAATAATCATCGGAATTAATTTGAACTATAACACAGCTGAAGTTTCTAGGCATATTTATCGATTCATGACTTCTCAATTATCTTTGAACTTCCCTTGTTTTGTTGTTTCATGTTTTCTTCTCAATGCCAGAATTGAACGAAGAATTTGATCATTTCTTTTACCTTCTTTCAAATTTTGTTTCCATACGCGAAGACAGAAATCAATAATATGCTCCGATCGATTCCGGGCGGTATTCTGTTAGACGCACATAAAATGAACATCCAATCGCCTGCTCGGGGCCAGATGGATGTTAAACTATCATTAATGATGAACATAATACCTTCTGGTTCTCAACACTATAACATGAAACATTTCGAAGAGACACTTGACATTTTCAGGATCTATTCGGGGAGCTTTGAATCGAACGATGATGTGCTTGTGAAGATTTCCGCGTAACAAAAAGTAATAAATCGAATGAGTGACGTACCAGGTGCAATCAAGACACGCTCAAGTATTGACACGAATTACAAAGGGAACAGAAAGGCGAAGTAGATAGAAGACAAAACATAAATCAAACTAAGAAAAGACGAATTTGAAAAATACTAAGAGAACGTGAGAGTATATACATCAATTGTTAGTAAGAGTACATCAAACAAATAAACAAACCAATAATGGTAAAATAAAAAATGATAACCACAACTTCTTACTGTAAATGGCGTATTCTAGGTATCACTCAATGGTTATGTTTGACGAATACATCGAGCTCAATATTCATAAATAATTTATATCGTTTGTTATAGTAAATCAAAGTTACACACATACATTAAACTTTCAGCCGCTATGTAAATATCAAATATCCGGTTGCCTCTTTACTGAAATTATCGGCATCAAAGCCAACATCAAAGTGTAATAAGAAATACTTGTCATAGTAGTGTTAAGAGACATTATTGAAAAGTTTTAAATTCTTTCGTATGGTTTCCGCATATTTTGTTCAGTCGAAACGTCTTTGTGTATTGCTTAGCGACTAATTGCTTCATGAACAGTTAAGATGAAGACACTCTCATTAATATGTATAGTGCTCCTATGTCAATCAGTTCTTGAAGGAGAATTAAAACCATTCTTTGGACACGTAATATGGTCTCCATTGTCTGATAATTTAAGTGAGCTTTTGTAATAATTAATTATGCCCGTAATTACAACTAAGCAACAAAGTATCTCATAACGTTCAACATTTCGCTTTTTATCATTTACTTTTAATATGTGCGCGTGATATCTTCAACAGTCTACAAACACGAATTTTAAAGAGATTTTTTTTCTTCAAGCAAAAGCTCTTATTTTATTAGAACATGTTATTCATTTACACTTTTTTTTTTTATATCCGTTGAAAGTTCGCAATAAATCAAACGATGCAACCCAAATCTTTACAAATATGACCTTGAGCAAATTTAATCTGGATAAAATCCTTTCTTCCTGTTACCGGAAGGTTCAGAAATAAAGGATTGCTGGCGTTTTGTTTCCATGACTGAGGTCGCTTGCCCTATATTTCGGAAAAAACCTCCCGCGTTTTATTAGGTTGAAACATTAGTTATTGATAGAGGGCAGCATGCAGAATTTTGCCTTCTGCATTTTCAGCAGATAAGAGAGAACAAGCCAAACATTCGACAATGGTCTTCGTGTTTATCTGTGGGCACAACGCTATGACATTCTAGAGATATATGAGAGATGTCTCTCCGTTAAAAGAGGTTAATAACCACGAGGAGCTTTCAATATGGTCAATTACTTACGTATAACTATAAAAGGGTCATTCTAATATACTGAGAGGTTTGTGTACGATCAGTACGGTAATCGTAATTGGATACGCGATTCCATGAGTATTAAATAATTCAAATATTAATTTACTAAAAGGCTTTGAAGTAGGTTAACGAGGCTTGTGCCCTTAGTTATTCATCTATAAAGAAAAAAGGTCCACACCACATGCATTCCTTTTTCAGGAGCTCTTTACCTGCTATTTTTCAGCAGTCTGTCTCCATTCTTGATAACATATTGTGTATATTATTCTTCTAATGTCCGTTCCACACGAGACGCCAACTAGTGTTAACGCAAGGCAGCGTCAACGACTGGCGCAGTCTTTCACGCATCATGTGAGCAAACATTGCGTTGAAGCACTTTGATGCATCATGTGAGCAAACATTGCGTTAAAGCACTGACGCAGGCACCCATTCGCTTCATAATGTTAGATTAATGCGTATTATGGAATTAATTGGCGCAGGCCATTGAAATATAACGCCAGGTAGAATATTCTCTTCACTGTCCGCTACGAAAAGTAGTTTCCTCGCGCATGAGGTTCAAATTAAATACCCTATTGTACTTTGTATAGAGATCACGATCACATCTATTTTCGAGAAATTAGCTCACAGGTTATTTCAGTGCCCTAGTGTATGTCCAATAGAAATAATTTTCGGATTACGTAACAAGTAATTGTCATGTTCTTACATTTCAATAGGTGACGGATTATAATTGCCTCAGGTTGATAATAATAATATTCCGCTTTTATATAGAGATCACGTATAAGTCTCGAAAGTAGTTTTTAGAGAAATGAGCTCACAGGTTATTTCAGTGCCCTAGTGTATGTCCAATAGAAATCATTTTCGGATTACGTAACAAGTAATTGTCATGTTCTTACATTTCAATAGGTGACGGATTATAATTGCCTCAGGTTGATAATAATAATATTCCGCTTTTATATAGAGATCACGTATAAGTCTCGAAAGTAGTTTTTAGAGAAATGAGCTCACAGGTTATTTCAGTGCCCTAGTGTATGTCCAATAGAAATCATTTTCGGATTACGTAACAAGTAATTGTCACATTTCAATAGGTGACTCACAAGGCTATTATAATTGCCTCAGGATGATAATAAGAGCATTCCGTTTTTATAGAGATCACGAAAGTCTCGAAAGTAGTCGCTATCGTGTTATAGAGAAATTATTTCACTGTCGCACATTTCAATAGGTGACGAAAAAGACTATCAACATTGCAGTAAGGGTTTGTTTTGCCGAAAGTCTTACCGACCGTGTTTTAAGCAAACTATAGTGGCATGTGTATATTGGGCATGGTCATACGCAAAGCTCACTTAGGCTAGGCTATAGTATTACAGGCCTGCATGTACCATAACGACAGTACCCACTGGAGATCTTGTCTCGGTCGGCATCTGTGATAATGGATAACTTCCTTGATTCCTCCATGTGACGGGGGTGCAGAGGCGGATCTAAGGGGGGGGGTCGGCGGTTTAAATCCCCCCTCCCCCCTTGTGCGGCCGAGTGAAAAAAAGGGGGGGGGGAACAGTAAAACGGCGAGATTTTTGGAAA